AAGTGGATGACAGTGGTAGCCGGGCACCATCTAGTTCTTCTGGTCTCATAGTTGTATAGGTTGCAGATCAGATGGTGTACCAGTCGCGAGGACTGATTAAAAATTAATTTCTTATGTGCATCAAAAGACTTCTCCAAAAGAGTGAAAAGTAAACCAATATATTAGGAAAAAATATTTGGCTACGACATCTGACAATTGACTTTCTCTAAAATTTATAGACACATCAACACCTCAACCTTAAAAAGACAAACAATCCAGTTAAAAAATGGGCAAAGGAAATGGACAGATACTTCATCAAAGATGATATTCAGGTGGCCAACAAACACATGAAGAAATGCTCACGATCATTAGCCATTAGAAAGATGAAAATCAAAACAATTAGATATCATATCACCCCAGCAATAGCAAAGTTTAAGTATACCGAAAACAACATATGCTGGTGAGGGCGTGCAGAGATTAGAACTCTCATATACTGCTAGTGATACTGTAAAATGGTACAACCACTGTGGAAATGGTAGGGTGGAAATCCCTAAAAAGCTTTCTCCCTGAGCAAATGCTGCCCTTCTGATCTCCTATAGTTGATTGCTCTAAAGAGTGCACCTCCCTAATGTCATTGTTCACATTTTCAGGGATTTTGGAAATAGAAATGCCATTTGATCCAGCAATCCTATATTAGGTATATATCCTAAAGAAGTGAAAGCTGTGACACATTGGAATACATACATCCACACTCATGTTTATTGCAGCACTACTCACAAGAGCAAAGAGATGGAAACAACCTAAGCGCCCACCAATGGATGAATGGGTAGCCAAACATATACACTATAGAATATTATGCATCAATAAAGAATAATGAAGAATCTGTGAAACACCTTATTATTTGGATGGGCTTGGAGGACATTATACTAAGTGAAATAAGTCAGCCACAGAAGGACAAATGCTGTATGAGTCCACTATTATAAGAAGTTAAGGAAAGGTTTACACATGGAAAGAAACTTTCTTTGTTTCTTTTGCTAGCTAATAATTGATACAAATTGCTAGCTAATAAGAGATACATATTGATTTGGCTGAAGGGAAAGGCGATACACCAAAAGTGGGTGACCAGCACAATGTCACTATGGAAAAGTAAGACATGAAGAGACATTAGAGATACAGATGTCAAAGGTAAATACAATGACATACACAATACTGAATTATTAGTAATAATAAACAATCTATGAATGGATACATAGGTAGAGAGTTGAGGTGATTATGTATGTTTAGCAAACTGGAATGTACACATAACCATATATAGGTTTGGCAGACATTTCTATATGTGTATTTGTATGTGCTATAAAAATGCTCATACATATAATAGAGCAAACAGGAGGCAAAGTTAGGATAATTTCTCAGACACAATCAAACACTTTGAGAGAGTGAGTCACTGGGCCTGTGGGCTCAGGACTATGGTCACGGGGGACATTAAAGTCAATTGACATAGCATAGTATGCAAAAATATTGTTCTCCATCCTACTTTGATGAATAACAACTGAGGTCTTAAAAGCTTGCAAGCAGCCATCTAAGATGTAACTAGTTTTCTCTCCTCTTCTGGACCAAGGAAGAGTGAGGTAAATCAAAGATGTATTGAAATAATTAGTCCAAGGGACTAGTGGTTCATTGGAACCTCAGCAGATATGACCCTGAGACCAGAATTAGACAGTGCCCAGCTACCACTGCCAACCACTCTGAAAGAGATCAAAATTGGAGATCCTGGATAGAGTGAGAGAAAAATGTGGGAAAAAATTACAGAAAAGACCAGCTATGGCCCCTAGTCACCCTTTGGGTCTGGAATTGAACTCACTCTTGTGGCTTAACTTCTAGCCAAACAATAGACAGGGCTACAAGGTGAACAATGACATTAGGGAGGTGCACTCTTTAGAACAATCAACTATAGGAAATCAGAAGGGCAACATTTGTTCAGGGAGAAAGCTCAGAAGGCAGGAATGCATAGGAAAGGACACATAGAAAAGGTAACTACAGAGGAAGTGAGGAGACAGCTGTTACATTGTGGGGACCACAATCACTGTAACAAAACAAAAGTGTATGAAGTTAAATGGAAAACAGGTTTGCTCTTTAAACTTTCACCCAAATCATAGTTAAAACATACAAAGCAAAAAAGACCCTGGGTTTGGTTTTGGCTCTATGACTAATTGTAGGTGAATTTTGGTAATTCACTTCTTTAGCCATTGGTTTCTTTTGCTCTAGGATGGGGAGGTTGGACTAAGTCCTTGTATAGTCCCAGTGTTCTGTGGCTTTCAAAGTTATCTGAGAAGAAATTGGTAAAGTTGTGTCCATCATATTTTTAGGATGTTGGAAACTTAAAGATAATATTGCTATAAAAATGGAGAGTGGGGTGATAAATGAGAAGATGACCTTCAGAAAAATAGAAGATGATGATTAGGGAAAATGGTGCCTAAGACACTTGACTGCTAACCAGAACATTGGCAGTTCAAACCCACCAGCCACTCCTCAGACAGAAGATTAGGCAATATACTTCCACATTGATACTGCCTCGGAAACCCAAGGAGGGGTCGCTATGAGTTGAAGATGACTCAACAGCACATAACAACAACAATAACAGGATGGGGAAAGCTGAAAGAATTTGGACCACTGAGAAATTTGAGAAAACCTGAAAAGTTTGTACCCAGATGAGGGTAGCTGGAGAAACCATGGAAGGCCAGCAGGCTGTGTGGAGTAGGAAGAGCAAATAAGTCCTGCCAGCAGAGTCCAGGATACTAAACAGGTAGCGATTAGATGGGTGTAGTTTTAATCTTAAGCCAAGAAATGGAGTTGAAGCCTAGTCATAAAAAAAGACCAAGAAAACACATAAATAAACCAGTCATAGACTCAGGCAGCAAATGATATGAGCTAGAGAAGGGTATTTACCAAAAGAAATTCTTCATAAAAAAAAAAAATCACCTTGTCATCAGCTCTTTCAGGAAGAGTTTAAACACAACCACTTAAAAACAGAGAGGCTCCTTTGTTGGCATCTCCCTAAATGACTTATAATTGTTATATATCTCCATGGAAAAGATGAGCCAACGTAGGAAGCGACTAGTTAAATGACACAAGGTCATTTAGCAACTGAACAGTAAAGACCAGAGTTCCCAATGCAGCCACACTATCTTCCTTGTCATCACCACTTAAAAAAATATTTTACAGATCATGTGCAGCATTTTACCTAAAATAATCTCTGTTGTGCAATTAGTAATCTGTTATTCACAGGAATTAAAATGCATAGGTACAGTTGCAGAGCTGTTGAAGTGACTCTGGATTTCAGTGGCTCACTACTTATCAGCAAGGTCAGGGCAAGGATAAAGGCAAAGAGTAAAGATGTGATATCTCTTCATTTCCCTTTGTTAGAAATTTTATCATCATTCAGGAGAGAGAAAAACTGATGGCCCTAAAAGGAACATGAGTATTTAACAGAAATGAATGACTGCAGCATATATCAAAACAGTCCATGTTCTGATGGCTTTTAAAAACACTTCTGAAAATGAGTTTAACCTTATTACTCTCCTACAGAGGAAAGCAAATTTGCCGTACTCTTACTTACATGTAAAGGTTGAAAGAGGTTCATGTCCCCTTTTTCACTCATACATTCTGAGCATGGACTACTTTCATTTTCGGAGCCTGCAAACAAGAAAGAAAGATGGAGGGAAGACAAGGGAAGGGACAACTTAGTCCAATGTTCAAGGCAAACATTTTTTCACATTAAAATAAATCCTGCAATCAGGTAACAACAAAAGAATTTTCTTTTATTTGAGGAAAAAACCTAAGGTTTAAGAACACTATTTAACTGGACTTGAGCCAAGTGGTCAAAAACCAATAACCACAACCACTGCCATGGAGTCGGGTCCAACTCATAGTGAACCCTCCCTGGGTTTCTGAGGTGGTATCACTATGGAAGTAGATTGCCCAACCTTCCTTCCGAGGAGTGGCTGGTGGGTTTGAACCATCAGCTTTCTGGTTAACAGTCAAATGCCTTAGGCACTATGCCACTGGAGCTCCCTTAAAAACCAATAGCAAGGTATTATTTAAGTCCAAGTTTTCAATGAATCATTTTAAAAGAAAGTACATATTTCCAGATATAATGAATCAAAACATTGAGAGAAAAATGTCCATCTGGAAGATACATTTTAAAAGTGGGTTTGCAGACTAATTTTACCAGCTTGTAAGAAACCTCAAATGGCTCCTACACTTACAACTGCTACAACAACAAAGTACCTAATGGGGGAAGGCACAGGGATCTGACTGCATCAGGGAGAATGCACAAGGGGGCATGTGGACAGAGGGGGTGCTGGCCCAGCCTGCCATTTTAGCCAAACACACCCTGGTGATGAATGGTTAGGGGAAGAAGAGGGCCCCCACCCAAGGCAGGAAGGAGGGAAGCCAGGGCTGATGGTGGCAGGATCAAGGTAAGGGGAGGGCAGAGGGGATTCAAAGAGCTAAGGGAGACAAACTTGTCTGTCAGTTTTTCATACTGTGGTGGCTTGTGTGTTTCTGTGAGGCTGGAGGCTGTACCATCAGTGTTTCAAACTCCAGCAGGGTTGCACATGGTACACAGGTTTCAAAGCAGTTTACAGACTGAGACAGACTCAGAAGAAGGAAGAGACCATTTACTTCCCAAAGAATTGGCCAGGGAAAACCTTATGAATAGCAGAGAAACATCATCTGATACTTTACTGGACAACTTTATGAATAGCCTGGAAACATTGTCTGATATAGTGCCAGAAGATGAACGCCTTAGGTCAGAAGGCACTAAAAATATGACTGGGAAAGATCTGCCTCATCAGAGTAGAACCAACCTTAATGATACGTATGAAGTAAAGCTTTTGGGACCTCCATTTGCTGATGTGGCATGATTCAAACTGAGGCGAAACAGCTGTAAACATGTATCAATAATCAGAATATGGAATGTACAAAGTATGAATTTAGGAAAATTGGAAGTTGTAAAAAATGAAGTGGAACACATAAAGATTGATATCCTAGGCATTAGTGAGCTGAAATGGATTGATTTTGGCCATTTTGAATCAGACAACCATATGATCTACCATGCCAGGAATGACAAATTGAAGAGAAATGGAATGGTATTCATCATCTTAAAGGATGTTTCAAGATCTGTCCTGAAGTACAATGCTGTCAGTGATAGAATAATATCCATACGCCTAAAGGAAGACCAATTAATGCTACTATTATTCAAATTTATGCACCAACCACCAAAGCCAAAGATGAGGAAATTGAAGATTTTTATCTACTTCTGCAATCTGAAATTGACTGAACATGCAGTCAAGATGAGTTAATTATCACTGGTGACTGGAATGCAAAAGTTGGAAACAAAGAAGAATCACCAGTAGTTGGAAAATTTGGCCATGGTGATAGAAATAACACTGGAGATCACATGATAGAATTCTGCAAGGTCCACAACTTAGTTCATTGCAAATACCGTTTTTCAACAACACAAATGGTGACTATACATGTGGACCTCACCAGATGCAGTACACAGGAATCATATTGACTACATCTGTGTCAAGAGGTGATGGAAAAGCTCAATATCTTCAACCAAAACAAGGCAAGGAGTTGATTGTAGAACAGACAATCAACTGCTCATATGTAAGTTCAACTTGAAGTTGAAGACAAAACAAGTCCACAAAAGCTAAAACATGACTTTGAATATATCCCTACTGAATTTAGAGAACATCTAAAGAATAGATTTGATGCATTGAATACCGATGACCGAAAACCAGAGGAGTGGTGGGATGGCATCAAGAACACCATCCATGAAGAAAGTAAAAGGTCATTAAAAAGACAGAAACGGAAGAAAAGACCAAAATGGATGTCAGAAGAGACTCTGAAACTTGCTTTTGAATGGAGAATAGCTAAAGCAAATGGAAGAAATGACAAGATAAAAGAGCCTGGACAGAAGATTTCAAAGAGAGGCTCAAAAAGAAAAAGTTGATTATTTTAATGAAATGTACAAAGATCTGGAATTAGAAAACCAAAAGAGAGGAACATGTTTGGCATTTCTCATGCTGAAAGAACTGAAGAAAAAAATTAAGCCCTGAGTTGCAATATTGAAATATTCTATGGGCAAAATATTGAATGAGGCAGGAAACATCAAAAGTAGATGGAGGGGGTTTCCGGCAAGATGGCGGACTAGGCAGAAAGACTGCACAGACCCTCTTCAACAAAGAAAAGGGAAACCAATTAACACAGACACAGAGGATAATTCTGGACCCCTGAGCCTTGAAAGGAAGGATATAGAAGTGGACTAAACCCCAACTAGCAGAAGAATTTGCGTGAAAATACCAAAAAAGGAGACATACAGAGCTGTGGTCTGGCAGCGATCCTGAGCAATCCTGATGGCACAGACACGTTGGAGATTCCTGAGTGGCGGTAGGACTTAAGAATTAACCTAAAAATCACCCTGCTAGCCAAGGACTGTATGGAGGACTGTGCATGGTGGCTGGGGAACAAATGGAAAAGGTGAAGAGAAAGGTGGACTGAGCTGTGAACTTTTGCTGGTCCAGAGGGCACCACCATTTTGAAGGTTTAAAAAGCGGCTTGACTATATTGGATATTTAAAGAGACAGTGCTCTCGCAGATTCCTGGGGCTTAAGAACACCTTCTGCTTTCCAGCAACCCCAAGGACACTCGGGACCTGCAAGACTGACAAGTTTTTTGAAGGTTATTTGATTGTAATTTGTGTCTAATTGAGTGGGAGACAA